TATATATATATTAAAAGAACAACCAATAATGATAAGGTGGATTCATATATCAAAGGTAATATTGATTCTTATTAATTTGATATATAAATATAATCATCGATTCATTTAGCTAACTTCAGTAATTTTAAAAAAGATTATTGTYACCATGCAACGCATGGTGTCAAACACTAGTTTAATTAAAAATCAATCAAATATTCTTCTAGTTTTTTCTTAGCTGTTACTTTTTCCAAAAAAATGCAATGTCTACTATTTGATATAAGCGAAGTACAATTTGATATAAACAACCATTTTTATATGGTTATTGTCTAAATTAACAACTAAATAAGTTTAAGGAATAAATAAAAAAATATTAAAATATTATTATTAATATTAATATAATAAACATATATTAACTTTTATTGAACATTTTGGTTCCTACATGGACAAAAAGTGCATACTTTGACTCTAACTCAAAAGTATGAAAATTATAAGAGAATAAATAAAAGAAAATTATGATATTTATTTAATACACGTTTAATATATAAAGTTAAAAAAAATTATTAAATAAATAAGAAAATATTTTCTTATTATTCATAATTTTCAATGAGAATATTTCTTAAGCAATTATTTTAAATTTTGTCATCAAATTATTAAATTCACACGAAACAAACGATAATGCATCATATTTTCATGATAAAACTAATTTATACATATATTGTAATAATCTTGACAACCGATATATTATAGGGGTGTTTGGGATTGCTTATTTGAAACAATTTATGCTTTTCTACAAAAACACTTGTTAACTTATTATAAGTTGTAAGAGTTTAACTTTTCCAAAAACTTCTTATTACTTGTTTGGCACTGGTATAAGTTGTTCATCCAAACACTCAAAAGTACTTATTACCTTGTGTCACATCGGAATAAGTCAATAAGTTGTTTTTATAAGCAATCTCAAACACCCCCTATATATTATTTCATATGGTCTTTCTTTATCTATGAGTTAAATTTAATATATTGATTAACATATATTTGTTTTACTATCTACATATTTTTTATGTGTTTGTAAAACAAAAAGTACAACGAAAAAGTTTTACATTGTGAACTAAATATATATGAAACAAACATATTGTGAAATAATATATATTAATCAATTATATTAAATTCTTGTATTAGATGAAAAAAATCATATGAAACAATACTTTATGACAATAGCTTTCACAATCATCACAATACACACACACACACACACACACACATATATATATATATATATATATATATATATATAGAGAGAGAGAGAGAGAGAGAGAGAGAGAAAGAGGGAGGAAAGATCATGCGAGAGAAATGGAAGAAGACATCTGAATCCTTGAGTACTTTTAATCTCACCCCCATCACATGATCATCTCGATGCATCTAATTAGTATTGATCTTCAATTATGATTGATCAAATAGTGGAAATCCCTTCTTACTCTCATCATAACTTCTATTTTCATCAGAACTTTAACCTATATAAATGAAAGATCATGTAAGAATAAAAATTAAAAGTGGAAAATTGAGACAAATAAAACAGTCAAAATATAGTGAATATATATATATATATATATATATATATATATATATTATTGAAAAAACCTGAAATTTTTTATTAAAAAATATGTATGTAAATTAACATTACAGTTTTACATATTTTATCATATAGTTCACATATGTATTATCAAATGTATTTTATCATATAGTTCACATATGTATTATCAAATGAATCTTTTAATAATTCAAATATTAATCTTACGTTCTCATAATAATCAGGGGCCGTTTACCAAACACATATTTAGTAAGCGCTTATTGATAAAATCTAACACTATTACATATTTACAGGGTATGATTTTAGTCCACGAAACGGTTTTACATGCAATAATTTATCCAGTAAGTGTCAACCGTGATAAGATTTTTCACCATCACTTATCTCGTAAGACTTCTGATCATTGCTTTCGTTCTTACCAGGTAAGATTCTTGGTCCTTATCATATTTATCCAGTAAGGTAACGTGACTTAATAAATGTTTATCCAGATAAACATATAATAAACGATCCCTTATCAGTTAATATTATTATTTAAACCAATCCATATATATATATATATATATATATATATATATGAATTTATTATTTTAATGCATCATATTTGGATAGATAAGCATCAAACAAGAAATAAATTAAACTGAAGATGACGTAAGCACTCACTCTTCAAATAAAAATAAAAATAATTATTTTCAGGATATTAAATATGTATTATTTTATTTAGTCAAACACACAACTTCAATATTAAAACCTAAATACTTTAAATTATTTCGAAAATAATAATGCATTAAACGTGAAAAATATGTCTTCATACCTTAAAAGTATTGTTTTTCAACCTCGTTTAATTGTTGACAAATAAGTGTTTTTTTTTAAATAAAAGACAGGTAAATAATTCATTACAGTTTTAAATAAATACAGCGTTTTTTTAATCATGAATGTTCGGATCAGTTTGTATGCATTTTATCTGATCCAGAAAGCTTGGAGAGCAGACAAGAAAATCCATAGTGGACTTGTAAGATTCAAACCAGTGATACTGTTAAACATCTGCATTGAAGTTAAACAACATGTTCTTGTAAAAACAGTAGAATGTTAGTTTATAAAGATATTTTTTTACATATTCTAAAAAGTTACATTCAACTCCATCAGCTTCTTTATTTGGGTGATTCCAACATTAGTTATATCATTAAAATATTCAGTATATTTAATATTTTAATAATATAAGCAATACTGTAATATTCAAAACGTAGAAACTGTTATGTCTAAATGCAGTTCTCTTTAAAGACATTGAATTCTAATTCTCTATTTGAATACATCTGTCAAAAATGTCGTTACCCGCTAAGACAGAAAATCCCAGTCCAGTTAAGATCAATCACCGACGAGTCAAATTTTCATCTCTATTCACTTACATGGAAAAGCGAATTACCAAATTACCCCACATTGTCACATTGATTTTGACATATTCTTTAAAGCCCAAAAGTGTCATTTTTATTTATTTTATATTATTTCTAGAAAAAAGGTTGAAGCCTATCACAAATTATGTGCAAATTATATATATATATATATATATATATATATAATATATACATATATATATATATATATATATATACACATATATATATATTGGAGCAAGTTGTTGAAAAGATGCAATAACACATTTCTTCTAAAAAAATGGCAAAAATATATCCCTCCATACCTTCATCTTCTTCATCCTCCTTTTGTTCCAATGAAAGAGAAACATATACCATATGGATGAAGTCACTTGTCATGAACTCGAATGGCTATACCGTCTACGATTCTAACGGAAATGTCGTTTTTCGTATCGATAATTACGATAACAAGAATAGCAGTGAAGTTTATTTGATGGATCTTCGTGGAAACATCGTATGCACAATTCTTCGAAAAGTAAGTTGGTTATCAGTGTACAAAAACAAACAGTTGTATAGATTTTGCTTTCAGACCAGTACTATCGCATCTTAGAAACAAACAGTGTCTTATAGTATTATTTGAATGATTTTGCAGAAATTATTGAGATTGGGGCTCTGGGATTGTTGCCATAGTAACGATTCTTGTAGGCCGTGGTTTAAAGTTGGAAAGGCATTCAATTTCTTCAAGAACGATTCAGTTTACGATGTTTTGGTTGGAACCAACGAGGCGCGAAATGATAGTAGCTTGAATCATAGAATGGAAGGATCGGTCCATGGTTTGGAGTTTAAAATAACTGACGGTGCAGGGAGAGTCAGAGCGGAGGTACAACGAAAGCGGTCGTCTTCAGGTGTCGTGTTGGGCGAAGACGTGTTGTGCGTGACCGTTGAGCCTGGTGTGAATCATATCTTTGTATTGGCTCTTGTTGCAATACAAGGATTAATCCATCGGAAAATGTAGATATCTTTTTATTTTTGGTCTTTGTACAAAATGTATGCATCACATTTTATGCAAACGAACTAGATTTTATACAGATGACAATGACTTTTTTACTGTAGATTTTGTTGTCAACTGATATCTATTTGTGAATGTATTTTTGATTCATTTCTCTGTAGAAAAAAGGATCAAATAAATCAGTGTTTGGATTTGTGATTGAGTGCGTGTTTCATTTCTTGTAATTGTCATTTTCGATACTGAATTTTGTGTTCGTTATGGTTTTAATCTCTTTTATTTTGTCATTTTCGATACTGAATTTTGTGTTCGTTGTAGTTTTAATCTCTTTTATTTTGTCGTTGTCGATTGTTTCACCGACTAATCGGCTATATCTGTTCAAATAATTAGAAATTATAATAATTTATAGATTATTAATATTAATCATATATTATTGTATCGTCTATTAAATAATAAAAGCATCATATATAATTATAAGAATAAGAATAAACCACAAATTTGGTCCATAAGGTTTGTCGAAAATAACACTTTTTTGTTCTTGTACTTTTGAAATTACAAGATAGGCCACTGTCATTTGCCAAAATGTCTAGATTTGGTTTCTCCTCTAACGACCGTTAATGAACTTCGTTAAATCAACAATATTTTTAATTTCTTTACCCAATCAAAATAATTATATGATGTCGATTTCTGACTTCATGTGGCTTTTGATTGAATAAAAGAAAAAAAGTATAATTTAATGAAATGTTTTTCATTTAACGGAATTTTTTTAACGATCGTTAGAGTGAGTAACAAAATCTGAACGATTTTGCAAACTATTTTGTAATTTCAAAATTGGAGGGACAAAAAGTGTCATTTTTCACAAACCACAGGTACCAGATTTGTATTTTACTTTAATAATAAAACTACCCTTTGCAGCTCACAAACGGATACGATGTGATCCACGACGTGGGGTGCACCTCTTTTATGGGCGTGACGATGGAATTTTTGTGTTTTTCCGATTTGGACGATATTTTTATATTGAAATTTTATATTTTTTAATTATAAAATAAAATATATATCGTTATATAACGGATCCCGAAATTATAAGAATTTGATTGAAGTCAAACAAGAAATACATTATTGACTAGAATGAATCTTCAGTTTGAACACGGAAGTGTGTTTTCGGTGTACAATGTGAAGTCCTTACAACACACATATTTGATGGTTCACAAAAATAAATGTGCATCCAATACAGAGTAGAAAGACAGTGATAGAAAACAATACTGATATTTATGTGAAAACCCAAATCAGAAGAAAAAAAGGGGTGAAGAAGGTAAAGGGGAGGAGGCCCTTCACGACCGTAAAGGACTCTCATTTCACGATCCTAAAATAAAGCATCGGCAAGCTTGCCAAAGAGGCAAGGTATATGTTGCAACATGCTTTTACATGCTTTTGATCTTACTTTTATACATTGGACGTATTTATTATCAGTTTAATGAGACTTATAGCTTACTTCTTTAGCTATACATGATTGTTTGATAGTGACTTAATAATATAGAAAATGACTTATTCACTAAGCTTTTAGGGGGAAGTTTTACACATAAATGCAGAGGTTTTTTTTCTTCCAAATTCGCCCCTCCTTGTTAAAACACACACTCATTCTATCCATTAAAAAACCATTATAAACAAAAACTTTATCAATATACACAGACAGATTAATACACACAAACAATTTTATCCATACAAAACCTAATGGAAAACCAACCAAGCTACCCTTCCATCATGTTGTACAAAATTAAGATCAAGTAATCTTGTGGGGTTATAGTTGAACCGACAATAACGCTTAGGTCTTTAGGGATCCTACTCACAGGTCATCGATTTCAGTCATGCAAGACCCTTGGGGATTTTCCTGCCTGTTCTCTAGGACCCCTGGAATCAATCGAGGTACGAGCAAACTGATCCAAACACCCATGGTTAACAAAAACAAAATAAAGGTCAAGAAACACCATCCTTGATGCATAAACTACAACAACTCAACCACCAATTTCAGTAAACAATCAAAACTTTGCAACAAATCAAATAGCAATCATAGTTCTATTTCATTCTCATAACTTTATATATATAAGTTTATATGTAAGATTTATGACAAGATCTAAGGGAAGTAGAACAAAATCATGGATTGATTATTGGGAGGCTTAATTAGCATGCTAATCTACATGTAATATCTTCAAGGGAAAAAAAAACCCAAAAAAGAAATCAAGAAAAGAATACCATTTATACCAATTTACATATTTCTTCGTACGCAGATAAACCGTGCACCATCGCTAGCATTTCTTCGTGTTCTTGAGGTTTCGTAGGCTCATTACAAGCTGTTGCCTTTCACCTTCTACTTCTGCAAACTTTAGACTTATTTCCGAATATCGTTCTTGCATTTCCTTCAATTCTACTTCCATAGATTTGTTTATGTTCAATAATGCCGACATTTCTTCATCTCCAGTCTTCTTTATCTCATCATCGCTACAACAATCAGATAAAAGATCGGTTTCTGTCTAATATACGAGAAATGGAAATGTTGCTAACCAAAAAAATGGTACATATGATTGGAACATAATTCTCCACAAAACAACCGGAATATTATAATTTATAAAGTAGTTAATGAATGTTGTAGTGGGGATCACTTTTGAAAGTATAGGTGAATTGCATTTACAGGTGTATAGATGACAATTGTAAAAGCACAACTGAAAACATATTCATTACAGGTATGTGGATGGTCACTTGCAAAATACTGACGTGGAAGTACTACTTGCAAAAGTGCTTTTAGCCAAGTCAGCATTAAGTAGCACTGCTATATTGGTACTTTAAGAATATTAAACTCATAAAAAGTAGATTTTGCAAGTTTCGGGCTATTTCAGTGAATTGAGTAGAAAAGTGGCTATAAAATGAATCGAGACAATTTCCCTAAAACAACCACCCTATAGGAAATTCACATATAGGAGCAATTTTTACGTACCTAGTGATTGCGGGATTCGGATTTTCAGCTCTAGATACCTGTGATCGAAGATGAATAATCATATTCACGTCGGATAAAGATAGAGAAATCTGTGAACTTTGAAATGGAAATGGAAAGATAAAGAAATCTTTGAACTTTTTGTCAAGAACTTTCTGTGTTCTGAAGTTACCTGTTGGTTTTCGGTGTTTTGATCAAGAACCTTTAATCGTCTTACCAACTCTTCGATTTTCTGCTGCAGATCTTTTTCTTTCTCAAGAAACGAAGCTTCACAGCGTTCTAATGCAGTTTCCTTGAGCTTTATTTGACCCTGATTCAAAAAGTTCCAACATTAGCACAGCTGCATGCAAGCAAGAGCATACACAATACCATCCAAAACCCAAAATGAAAATTGCAACATCTGACTTTTTATCGAAAGTCTTGGCGCCAATTGTATCATCGATCTTTTGTACAAATGACAACTGGTAGATAAGCAATTTCAAAACTTTCCAAACCTAGAAATGGGATGAACAGATAACCAAACACCAAGCTAAGGGGCTGTTTGGTTGGTTTTTCATTAAGACCCCGTTTGTTAGTAGCTTAACGAGCTTAATGGGACTCGCAACTTATTCGGTTAGCTAGATATGACTGTTTGGTAGTGGCTTAATGATATATAAAATGGCTTATTCAGTAAGCTTCTAGGAGGCGGGCTTTATGCAGAAAGCCAAGTTTTTTACAAACATGTCCTTCCTAATTAAAAAACATGCTCATTTCATCTATGGAAACCCCCTCCGAAACAAAAATCTTCTCAATCTATACAGAGAGATCAATCCACAAAGACAACTAGGACTTAATTGAAAACCAACCAAACAGCCCCCATGTCCTGTATGGATAAAGTTGTATGTGTGAATTAATCTATCTGTATAGATTATAAAGATTTTTGTTTGGGAAGGTTTTCATAGATAGAAGAAGCATGTTTTTTTAAGTGGGAGGGGCAGCTTTGGAAAATACTTGTTTTCTGCATAAAGCTCCCCCTGAAAGCTTACTGAATAATCCCCTTTCTATATCAATAAGCCACTACCAAACAATCATGTATAGCTGACCGAAAAAGATGTGGGTCCCATTAAGCTCATTAAGCTGCTAACAAACAGACCCTAACCCAGTATATCCCACGTGGAGGTGCGGTTGGGAGGGTAATTTTTGTATGCCAACCGGACCTCTATCCGCAAAAGAGTAAAACAGTTGTTTCTGTGAAACGGGAACAAATATCACCTCAAGATTTTTGATTCTGTCCTTCATATTGGTGACCTCTTTCGCGCTCCGAGGAACAGGTTTATTGTTTCTCGGGATTGTTTTGTTTCCATCCAAAGCCATGGCTCGAGTATTACCATCCTTGAGCTTTTTCTCTATGTTACTCATTGCTTCATCTTTCTTCTTGAGATCGCCTTTCAGTTGAGATACTTGTTTCCTCAGGTTTTCCTTCTCCAATTCATACTCTTTAAAAAACAGTTTCATTTCATTGCATCGAGATTTCAGACGTTCTGTTTCCGATTGCAGCTTTTCAACTTCGTGCTCCTTTTCATTCTTAACTTTTCTCAGCTCGCTCAACTCATTCTTTGAACTCTCAAGTTCCGTTTTAACCAAACGAACCTCATTTTCAAGATCCTTTCTTTCACCTTCAAGATTCTGATTCTCGGCTTTTAGCTTCTCAACCTTGGCTCGGCAACTAGTTTCTTGATGTTCAAGATCATCAGACATGTTTTCGATCTGTTTCTCCATCTCCACTATTTGTTTAGACTTTACGGTTATTTGGTTCGAAAGATAAACCAATTTATCTTCGTAGTGATCTCCAAGATACCGCAAGTCTTCTTGGACTTTCTTGACCGTCTCTTCAAGATGCCTTTTCTCCACCCGAAGTTGATTGGCCTCATCCATGGCTTTCATGGCTGCATTCTCGTTTTCTTGAAAAGCCGATGACATTTCCGTGGAGAGCCTTCTAAATTCCTCCTGAAGTTTCCCTGCTGTACTAGCGTTTTGCAGTTTCACTTTTCTCAAGTTTTCCTCTGCTCGAATGGCTCTCTGCTCCTGCTCGACTTTTGCATGCATAAGATCTTCCACATCCACCTCAAACCCGTGAGCTTGATTCTCCAAATCTTCCTCCAGATTCTTGACATGGGTTTCGAGTTCTCTAATGGCAAGAATCGATTCAGACAATTCTTTAGATTTCATTTTGAGCTCATTGTCTAAGTTCTCTATCTGGGATTCGAGTTCGTTTACTGTGGCATAAGATGTTGAACATTCATATTGCATCTTCAATTGTTCCTGAAGTTGACTTTGTTCAAGCTTGTAAGACATATCGTGGTTTTCCTGCTTCAAAATCTCGTAATCGAGTGCAATCTGCTCCATCTGAATTTCGAGCTCGTCTTTATCTCTTTTGTATGACTCTACTTCAGCATAAAGATCGATTATCTTTTGCTCTTGTAAATATACATCTTTCAACCCACTGTGTTCTCTAACAATCTCTTCTAAAGCCTTTTGATCTTCATCATCATCTATCTCGGATTTTGAGTTGGGTTTCGGAGCAATAGAACATTTTGAATCCTTCTGTTCCAGCATCTCATCTAGATCGCGAACAGCAAGAATCAACTCTGCATTTGATTCTTGCGTTTTCTGAAGTTGTAAACGGAGATTAGAATTCAAATCCTTTTCATAATTCAGTTCTTGTCTCAGTTCATCAACAAGAGCCCAAGGATCCCCTCCTTCGATCAACAACTTATTATCGGCTTTCACTTTGGTTTCTACGTTTTTCTGATACGCCTTCATCTTTTCACACTCATCCTTCAACGCATTTCGCTCTTCCTTAAGATTAGCTACTTCCCTTGAAAGATCTTGACCCTTTTTGCCCTCCTTCACGATTTGCTTACGAAGGGTCTGTAATTCCAAATCCGAAACATCAGCTTGCCGAGCCAAAACCACAAGTTCGGCTTTAAGCTTTGTGATGATATCGTCCGGAGAACCCTCTTCTGATATTTCTCTTAAAAGGGTCTCTCCTGGACTTATCATGGAAGAATCATCGGTACTTAATTCGTGAGTCGAACCATCTAACCAATCCCACTGTGACGATGATCTCGGATGTTCTTCAGATATTGTTGTTGTTGAGGATTCATGAGCCAGTTTCGTGTTCTTGGGTTCGGGTTCTCGTGGGGTATCAAGTCCCGAGCTGCTATCCGAACACGACAGCGTGATGTCGGATCCAATGGATGCACCACGATCTCTGTTAATGTTATCATTCAAAGCTTCATGATCCTGATTAAAGATGAAATCCCATATAAGTAGATACAAACGAACATATAAATTCCATGCATTTGGTACACGGATGAAAGAACTCTGAAGGGTTTTAAGGTTTTAATTTGGGGAAATTGACAAAAATAGCCAATCCACCAAAGTCAATTCACTTTATAGCCACTTCAGGACCCTATTTCCCCAAATAGCGAACGTTTACGCAAAATCCTTAGGATTGATTTCGGCCAAAAAAAAAAAGATTTTAGAAACAAAATCAAACCTTACACATAATGCTTAAGGTTTCTGCACAAACTATGGCTATTTGGGGAAGTTGGTTCCTGAAATGGCTTAAAAGTGAAAGGACTTTGGTGGATTGGCTATTTTTGTCAATTTCCCTTTAATTTGACATGGGTAGTTTAGTAATTTATCAATCTTGTCACGTCTCATTGATTTAGTTGTTAGCTAGGTAGGTGAAATAGAGCTTACTTCATTAGACTCGACCCGAATGCTTCCTTCTATATCACCATTGCTGAATTCTGACCTCAAACTCTTATTATCTCCATTTGCATTTGCACTTCCATCAACCTCCCTATAAATTCACAACTTTGCATTCAACATTTATGAGAAAATAAACAAAATTATTGAAGTAAAACATCATGAAATCCATTTTTACCTTTGATCTTGCACCCTTTGGATCGATACCTAATTCAAACAACATCTACAACCATTAAACTCGAAAGAAAGAAAGAATCCACTTGAAATTTTCTAAAAATGGATTGGTTGAAGGGACTAACATGTAATACACTTGTGGATTTTGCATTTTTGAGAGGTAAAGACAGAGAAGAAAGCTTTGTAGCCTCAGCATAACTTGCAAAATCAACCGAAACTTCTCCAACAACACCAAAAATAGAAGAACCCTACAAGATGTAAAGAAAAACCCACAAAAGAAAACTGGTTTTCAATCAACTTCTTTGATTTGGATGCATAAAAGCCATCTCAATGAGTCTGCAAGAATAATATATACCGTTGCCACAACAAAACGATAGATTTTCTCATTGAACTTTCCAGTTTTTTGATCTCGAGTGTACTTCACAGTTTCGTAATGTGGTTTTTCCCAGTAGCAAGTTCCATCTCTAACTTTTGCTTTCTCTAACCTTGCTGTTGGTTTTCCGACATCACCTGGAATCACAGATATTGTCAAAGCATCTCCTCCAATCTGTGTTAGCTGCATATACAGAAAGAATAACCCAATAAGGATCTTGCAGCCAACAAATGCTAAGATGAATCTTTTTTATCACTTGGCTGCAAAGAAAATGTAATAGAACAAGAACACATAATGAATCTTGATGTTTACATGATCTAAAAGAGAATGATTTTGACCCAATTTCATAAAAATATCAATAGTTGAGGCAAAGTTGAGTTCTTTAGATTTGCAGAAACTGAATCAGATCTCCTAAGTGTCACAATTGAAACAAAACCCTGATGGCTGAAGCATTGAACCAATGTTTTCTGAGCCCAATTCACATATATTATAATCAACCCTAAGAAGTGCAGGAAATAAGTACCCATTGATTTCTTTTTTTGTTTGCTTTCTTTGGAAATATAAGATGAAATAGATGTCCGTATATATCATTTTCTTGTTAATTTCTGTATTATATCAATTCGTTTTCAAGAAAGAGAATGCCTGATAAAAAAATCACAAAACTTCCTCTCTTAGTCAATTCATCGAACATATTATCTGCAATCAATTTTTCAATATATACATACACATATACACAAACACATATACATACATATATATGTATGTATGTGGGAGGGGGGGGGGGGAGATAACATCACCTGCGTTGCATGAAACTGCAATTTAATTACAGTTTTGATCTTGTTCTTGTCGCTCCTCCATCTCGCCGACTTGAACATTTTCTTTCCTATCTCTCACTCAGTCACTCTCTTCAAATCTGTATATGATGTTACTCAAATCCACATTTGTAAATTAAAAATTCTCCTGAAATAATTCAACAAAATTCTGCAACCTCATCGGAGCTCCGGCGAAATTGCCGGAAAAATGGTCAAATCCTTTGTTACAACACACCCATCTTGAAATTTTCACAAACCCAACACCGATCAACTCACCGAGAGATCAATTCTTACACACCCTACCCGTGTCACCTTAAATAACAAAAACCCAATTCAATTCATGAATTTAGAACCTCAATAAACACAGAAAGATTGAGATATAAACCGAGTTGACACAATGCGAGTCCAACCCAGTAAAGATTTGAGGGTTTTTTTGGGAGGTCGGAGAGACTTGTCTACATTGAAGAGCTCGTGAATATATTTAAGAATGAACATGAAAGCTCACAAGCAAGCTGAGCAGATCTAAAGAAGAGTCCTTCTCTCTCTCTTTCACACACACACACACACACACACAATATGAATAAATCAAGTATTTGTACATCTACAGTTTGTTGGAAAGGAAGAACTCATTAAATGTTGCGGATTCATCCCATTTAATAAATAGAAAGAGGGTTTGGGATAAATTACCAAAAAGTGAAAAAGGAAGCTTCTCTTAGATTTGTTACCCTAAAAAGATTATTCCTTAAATTTTCTTGAAAACAAAGAAATCTTTAAAGATTACTATGCTTCAAAAGAATAATACCAAGGGACTCTTTATTAAGAGACTTTCATGATATAATGTAAAATGAAATATAATTGTTTGGTAGTTGTGTACAATGAAAATAGGGCTCTTAATGGTTAAGAGAGATTCAAGATACAAAATCATTCAGAGAGTTTTAAAATCATTAAGAGGTAGACTTTTTTTTTTCCCAAACAAGATTCATCCCTTAACGATTCAGAGATTGCCTCTTAATGGAACTACTAAGAGATAAACAAACAACCCCTAAAAATCATAATCGAACGAGGCCAGACCCAAATCGGTCCCTACCAGTCCCATTCCATTTTGGCCATCTCATTGATGTTCAGGCCAACTTGTTAGCACCTCGACAAATCCAAAAACCCTGGAAAACAGATATGACATCTCCAGTGACACTACAGGACGGTAATTTCTAAGAAAAATCTCTAAAGAATCAAACCTTATTGTCAGTGGAGTAGTTTGATGACCTTGAAGACGGGCCGTTTATTGATAATTAAATCTTTGCCTAAAAAGATAATTACTTAGGGGCCGTTTACCAAACACTTACTTGGTAAGTGCTTACCGGATAAATCTTATCGGATGAACATGAGAAGGGCTAAGAATCTTATCGGATAAGAGCAATGAAAAGGATAGAGAGTCTTACTCGGTAAGTAAGAATGACGACTCTTACTCAAGTAAACACTTACCCAGTAACTTGTTGCATTCGATATGTTTTGATGTACTAAAATCTTACGTATCAAAATAAATTATAATGTTGAATCGTATCAATAAGCACTCATCGGGTAAGCATTTAGGTAAACGGCCCCTTAGATAAATTGGATATTTTTGTGTTGAAATTTAATTACAATTGCTTTGTCGTTAAGTGCTTAATATATATATATATATATATATATATATATATATATATATATTGGTTTTAAAATTATGGTAAGAGTAAAGAGTCATTGTTTATGGATGAAAGTCAATGATATTGGGTGTAGAGCTTAATTTAAATTCTAAAATGATTCTTAATTTAATTTTAAAAATGATTGAAATTAAATTTTATAAATTCTATCATTGAATATTACAAGGAACATTAAAGTGGCATTTTATTGAAAGAATGAACAAATTTAAAGGGAGGAGCAAAGTCAAGACACTCAAGTGGTTGTATTATTTCTTTATTTATTTTAATAATTTTTGTATTTTCAATAATTTTTATTTGTTTTTAAAAAATGAACTAATTAAACTTGTTAGTTGATTAGTGTCATGCATTTTAAATGGGACACATTAGAGCTCTCGTATTTGATTACTGTTATCGTTTTAAGACCTCTTATATGTTACATGTGTTTGGTTTCGAATGTTTTACAAGAGACGTTCAATAATTGTTTTGAAGTTTTTTGAGATTAAGGGGTCATTTACCAAACGCTTACCCGGGTAAGCATTTATCAAGTCATATTACCTTACTGGGTGAGTATGGCAAGGACCAAAAGTCTTACCCGATAAGAACAAGACAAAGAACAATAGTCTTACCCGATAAGTGAATGTGACGACTCTTACAATGGTAAGAGTTTATCGGGTAAATTATTACATATGATACCGTTTTGGTGGACCAAAATCTTACCCGATAAGTAAGTAATAATGTTGAATTTTACCGGTAATCACTTATTGAGTAAGTTTTTTGTAAACGGTCCCGAAGATATTTTAGCAAGTATTATAAGTCTTATAACGTCTTTTATAAGGTTGAGGGTTGGGTTAGACCGTTTTTTGGCCATCTCTAGATAGAAGTGCTAGCATAGGCTCGAGAGTAGAAGCTAAACTGGTCCAAACTTGAAGCTGCCAAATCAACTCAAATTTCAGTAACACAAACAGTTCTAATCAAAACATGAACTGTATTTAAATAAAGGTTTTTAGTTTTATATCATTTTAAATTAAAATATGTTTTTTTTATTGACATCGTCCATGTTATTGTTATAAATAAATAAAATAAGGGCCTTGATTCAACAAATGCATACCAATAATGCATTATACCCATAGCTCCAACTCTAATCAATAGAATCCAAAATGCAATTTCTTAATACATTTATCATTTTATTTAATTTTTATATTATCCAATGGCAAAGTCGTGATTTTTGTTGAATGAGTGCACATTTAAGGTGGATTAAAAGCCCGCAAAGTCGTCCGATGTGTTTTTAGTCATATCACATGTTTCAAATGACCTTTTAAAATTTTGTGGTTGATTTCGAAGTATTTTTTAAGTTTTTTGATTTTTTTCGAGAGACTTTTTTGTTTGACGTTCCTTGTATTTTCTAATATTAAAGAGCATTGTTTAAAGTTTTAACGTGTACACCTTTCATAACTCCAAAAAGATTTACTTGTAAAAATTAATCGAGCAAGTGCAGAGGACCCCGCTCAGTAAATCGTAGGTCCCTCCTAATATTATCCGACTTTTGTTCTTAATACTTACTATAATACTAATACATTTTTTTTATCAACCTGGATATTCCGAGCCGACTAATCCCAGGGAGACCACATGCTTTATAGATAGCCCGGAGTCACCGCATTTGAAACTCCGTGGCCACAAGAGGATTTTTATTCTTCATTGGTTTTGAACCTGAGACCTCCTGGTACTTTTGACCTTTTGAGTCAAGCTCAAACCAATCTGGCATCACCCTTGTGGTTAATACTAATACATTTGATCTCTACTAGAATGGTACTCGCGCAATGCAGCGAGATACATCTCGATTTTAATGTTTTGTTTTATTTTGTCTTCATCGCTGTTATAATATGATTTTATGTGGTACTAAAAAAAGGATAATGCTTTTATCTTTTTAATAAAATATAAATTTGAAGGTATAACAAATTTTTGAAAAAAAAAATATCCATTTTAGTATCAAATTGAATTTTTTTGTGTAATTTCTTTAATTTAATTTTTTATTATAATTTAGATTTAATAACAAAGTCATTTATTTT